ACCACAGAGTGGACCGTGGAGTGGAAGGAAGGTGGGCTGTTTTTCTGCCATAATGCTAATATTTATAATGTTTTAGGCTAATCTGCTGTTGGACTCACCTTTATGCCACACCTAATTTATTCTGTACAGGTGACTGCTAATGCACACTGTGAGTCATGTCATGAAACACATGCTCCTTAGTTTCAGAAAATGGAAGCGAGTTTGAAGCGAGTTTCACTGACACTCACACTCACACTCTCTCTCTCTCTCTCTCACACACACACACACACACACACACACACACACACACACACAATTGAACTAGGACAAAAGAACAAAACACTAAAACACTAAAGACAGGACACAAAGAAAATATCATCAAACTCAAAAGCAGAAGAAAATAATTTACTCAGGAAGAAAAACCTAAATGATCTTATACCTCTTCAAACAAATATATAACAAGTCAAGAGAAATTCAAATACTGGGTCAAAAAACCCACATTTTTGTTTGCCAAAGGATTCTAGCTGCTCCACAGTCCTAGGTCCTTTTTGTCATATCTTTCGTTTCATGATGCACCCGATGTGTTTTTTCTTGGTCAAAGGTTTGAACTGCAGGCAGGCCATTTTAACACCCAGGTACTTCTTCTGTGAAGAGATGCTATTGTAATAGATGCAGTATGCGGTTTAGCGTGGTCTTGCTGAAATAGATGTCAACTCGATGGGAGCATAAGCTGCTCTAAGACCTGTGTACACCTTTCAGCACTGATGGTGCATTGCCAGATGTGCAAGCAGCCAATTCCATAGGCAGTAATATAATCACCTTCAAAGGTTTTGAATTGAGTCGTGATAACAAGCTGCAAAAACAGCAGCACTTGTTAAAGCCCTTTACTGTTTATCCCAGAGGATGCAGGATCCACATTTTCTAACAAACAAACAAACAAAAAGATTTGTCTGACATTAGAACAGTTGTCCACTTTGCCTCAGTCCTTTTTAAGTGAGCTTTGGCCCACAGAAGACAGCTGATCATGTTCATGTATGACTTTCTTTTTTGCATGATAGAGAATTTAAATTTGTGGATGGCACACTGAACCATGAAAAACTAAGTACATGCTTACTGTTGTAGAGAGGTGGTCCGCTCCCGCGGACGGCAATCACTTTCTGCCCGACGATAACTTTTTGGCACAACACCTGGAGCTAAGGGAGCAAAACAATCACATGAGTGCTGCTATTTGACCGAGGAAGAATAAAGTAGTCATGGTAAGCCAATCACATGACCACTTCAAGATGACAAAGCAACAAGGTGATATATACCAGTTTTTAAATTGTGCTGATAGACCACATAGAACCAGAGTCACGATAAACAATATATGCGCGTTTTTTCCTGAATAATTTCCTTACGTTTACTGTCTAAGGACAACGCTAGCAAGCACTCTCTGCTTATGACCAAAAAACAAAACAAAAAACAGCCCGTTCGTGTTGGTGGAGTGTCGACCAGTCAAAAAATGATATGGCAACATGACATTTGGTTGTTCAGGAAGAG